GGACTTGTTTGTGGAATTTGTTCAATTAAAATGTGGTAATTGAAACAAATATTGAGGGTGTGTCAAACCCAAACAATTTTTTTCTGATAAATGTAAACAAAACAAAAACTGTAACCACCTCAATCCAAGCTAAACAGATTGTGATGGAGACATTATGCCATATTGACCTGATGCTGTGCAGTGTGGCGCCATAACTAATGCTACTGACATGTCTGTAAGATTTACAGGAACATAGATAAGGACAGATGTAGGTATGATCTCACCAGGCTTACTGACAACCACAAAGGCTCCCGCTAAGCCCAACATGTGGTGAGGAGAGGACACATATCATAAACCCCTCTTTCATATCTTGTACAGATTTATCAGCTCTGATATATTGATGCATTTTTTTGTTGTAGTCCGGCCATCTAATGAGTAACTTTAATTCAATACGACTTTATTAATGAAGTTGGCCAGTAAGGGGTCGTCCAACTGGAGCTCCATGGTCCTGAGAGATTCACACACATAGACGTCATCAACTCACCCATGCTCTGACAAGGGCCGTTAACAGTCCTCTTATATTCGCACGCCCAAATGTCTACACAACGTCCTGTAAATCTCCCACTGTTATTGTTTTAATTGTACTAATGTTAGTATTATCACAGTGGTAAAAACGTCAGCTTCAAACAGCCAACTATGTCTGGACTCTACTGGGGCAAAGACAAAACCAGAGAGCATAGCTTGTGAAAATAGCTGGCCACGCTGACTCGGCACCGGAGGAGTGTGTGTGTGTGTGTGTGTCGGAGTGTGTCGTGTGTGTGTAAGCGTGCAAACTGCTAAAGAACCTGACGGTACATAACAAAGCATCCAGCTGCTTCGTAAATCAGCTATTTCCCCCAAACCACAGAACCTCATGAATTCAAGCACCCATTGTTTGCTATTGGCATGAGGTGAAGCTGTATCAATGCCTCTGATATTTACTGAGGAAAACACCCCCGTAGTTACAAAACACCACTGGGTGTTTCAAACCTACTCCACCTCTCAGCTGAGACATTATTCTCTTCAATAGAGGAGACATTGAAATCATGTCTGTGACCTGAAAGAACTAACAGTGATCTGGAATAGAGTCATGAGTCAAGTTCAATATGTCTTTGGTCTGTATTTAGCAGATAGTCACAGAACAGTCAACTCCCTCACACTGGAGACGTAGAGAAAATACCAGTCAGCAGTAATGCGTCTCTCAAAAAACTGTAAAAGGTTTTATGTCCTGTAGTGTAGGTTAAATTCCATATTAACATTGACATACATTGGTTTGGCAAATGATCCTTCATTGCTGTAGCGCTTTGTGCTTTTACATACAGTATGTGAACAATAAAGTGAGACGCTAAATTCTTCAGCTTTGCCAAATGTGGATATTTCCTGTATTTTATCTGTGTTTGTGCCCGCACACACGTTTTGGGCAAGCCTGGCACAATGTTTACTGACACAACCCATTTTAATGGTTTCTTGTCAGTTCCAGACATTGGGAAATCAAGTGACTGTATTCTCAGTCTATTTAAAATGCAAATGCAATACCCTTGTGAAACGCACATTTAAAGTGTGCAGAGAGCTGAAGTTACTATAGCTGCCAAACATTGTGAAACATTGTAAGCATTTTTCATGAAGTGCATGGTTTGTTTAAAAGGGTTTGACCATTTCTGAACAACAGTCTTCGTGCCAAAGTATATTTTCTGACTGCAAAACCTCTCATATGCAGGAACCAACCTCCCTAAAAATGTTCAATTGTTATCCGACAGATTAAATATGAGAAGAGTGGGACCATTTTGGAGCAGAATACATCATCCTAGAAATCAGATATCTCTCTGAGAGCAATGTTGAAATTCAACCTAAACAACTCCATATACACCTCACCCACATTTTACATTACAAATCACTCCATCTCCAACCCAGGGAGGGCATTGTTTAGCAATGTGCTGCAAGCCTTGTGAGGCTCCTCCATATGGAAGTATAAAGGAAGGAGAGTCATCAGACCATATGCTTGTTAAACATCTCTCAGAGCGGACCCAGAGAACCAGCTTCACTGTGTTCTGGTCACATACCCCAGGAACACACTACAGCCACCCACATTACCCATACACACACTACACATAAAGTATATTCCATACACACACACACACATTTCCCAAACACACCCATGTAATAAACATAATGAATGTGAGTAATTTTCATTGCCTCCAATCTGGTTCTGTTTACTCCCCAGGTCCCCTGTGGTTCAGATATCTACACTGAGTTATTGGCAGAGTGGGTTAAACCATATGGCAGACAAAGGTTACACCATATGACAATAGCTATAGGGTAAAGATGAAGGTTACAACATATGGCAAAAGAGTAGGGTTACACTATATGACAACAGACGAGGGTTATACCATATGACAATAGCTGTAGGGTAAAGACGAGGGTTATACCATATGACAATAGCTGCAGGGTAAAGATGAGGGTTATACCATATGACAATAGCTGCAGGGTAAAGATGAGGGTTATACCATATGACAATAGCTGTAGGGTAAAGACGAGGGTTATACCATATGACAATAGCTGTAGGGTAAAGACGAGGGTTATACCATATGACAATAGCTGTAGGGTAAAGACGAGGGTTATACCATATGACAATAGCTGTAGGGTAAAGACGAGGGTTATACCATATGACAATAGCTGTAGGGTAAAGACGAGGGTTATACCATATGACAATAGCTGTAGGGTAAAGACGAGGGTTATACCATATGACAATAGCTGTAGGGTAAAGACGAGGGTTACACCATATGACAATAGCTGTAGGGTAAAGACGAGGTTTATACCATATGACAGTAGATTTAGGATAAAGACGAGGGTTACACCATATGGTATAATGGCTGGAGCTGGGTATGACCAGGGTAGACCTTTGGTTTGGTCACATATAATATTTAACTCATTTTAAACTTTCTGTTTAAGTCTGTAAAGGATGATGTGACACATCATCTACGATTCATAGTGTTATGCATTCATGCTAAAATGGCGCCAGAGGGGATGGCCGCCATTTTAAAGGCTTGTGACTAATTGTGATATTTTGTGTGGGGTTTTGTGCACTGTTTTTAACTTTTTTTGTACATAATGTTTCCGCCATAATTTCTTCTGACAGAAAAGAGCTTCTGGACATCAGAACAATGATTACTCACCTCGAACTGGACAAGGTTTTTTTTCTTTAATGAATCAGATGTGAAGGATATACTGCTCTTCCCGGACCAGGCCCAAATCCCTGTCATTTGTAAGAAGAGGAAACGCCGCTACAGGGGTCGACGAGCCAGATCCTATCAACGGGACATTGACTTTAATACCTACATGTTTCAAGCAGACCACCATAGTCCCTGTGCCCAAGAACACCAAGATAACCTGCCTAAATGACTACCCCCCCATAGCACTCAAATCTGTAGCCATGAAATGTTTTGAAAGGCTGGTCATGGCTCACATCCTCATCCCAGAAACCCTGGACCCACTCCAATTCGACTACAGCTAAACGTTCAACACCATAGTGCCCTCCAAGCTCATCACTAAGCTAAGGTCCCTGGGACTGAACACCTCCCTCTGCAACTGGATCCAGGACTTCCTGACGGGCCACCCCAGGTGGTGAGGTTAGGCAACAACACATCCGCCACACTGACCCTCAACACAGGGGCCCCTCAGGGGTGTGTGCGTAGTCCCATCCTGTACTCCCTGTTCATCCACGACTGCGTGGCCATACACAACTCCAACACCATCATTACGTTTTCTGATGACACAACAGTGGTAGGCCTGATCACTGACGATGATGAGACAGCCTATAGGGAGGAGGTCAGAGAGCTGGCAGTGTGGTGCAAGGACAACAATCTCTCCCTCAACATGAGCAAGACAAAGGAGCTGATCGTGGACTACAGGAAAAGGAAGGCAGACCACTCCCCCATTTCCATCAACAGGGCTGTAGTGGAGTGGGTCGAGAGCTTCACGTTCCTTGGTGTCCACGTCACTAAAGACCTAGTGTATCATGGTCCAAATACAGCAACACAGTTGTGAACAGGGCACGACAACGCCTATTCTGAAAAGATTTGGCATGGGACCTCAGATCCTCAAAACGTTCTACAGCTGCACCATTGAGAGCATCCTGACTGGTTGCATCACTGCTTGGTATGGCAACTACTCGGCATCCAACCGCAAGGCGCTACAGAGGGTAGTGCGTATGGCCCAGTACATCACTGGGGCCGAGCTTCCTGCCATCGAGGACCTCTATATCAGGTGGTGTCAGAGGAAGGCCCTAAAAATTGTCAAAGAATCCAGCCACCCAAGCCATAGACTGTTCTCTCTGCTACCGCACGGCAAGCAGTACTGGAGCGCCAAGTCTGGGACAAAAAGGATCCTTAACGGCTTCCACCCCCAAGCCATTAGACAGCTGAACAGTTCATCGAATGGCTACCCGGACTATTTGCATTGATCCCCTTATTTTATTCTTATTTAATATAATGTTTTGCACTAACTCTCTTGCACAGGCTCGATGTACACTCACTGGACCTCACACATACTACACTGACACTCTAACACACACACACACACACACAAAACACACACACACACGCATATTGATGCCACACACACACACACACACATTCACATCCCTACACACTCTTCACATACGCTGCTGCTACTCTCTGTTTTGTATCTATGCAGTCACTTTACCCCTACCTACATGTACATATTAGCTTAATTACCTCGACTACCCCATATCCCCGCACATTGACTCGGTACCGGTACCCCCTGTATATAGCGTCGTTATTGTTATTTTATTGTGTTACTGTTTTTCCTTTTAGTTTATTTAGACAATTTTTCTTACTTTTTTTTACTCTGCATTGTTGGTTAAGGGCTCGTAAGTAAGCATTTCACTGTAAGGTCTACACCTGTAGTATTCAGCGCATTGGACCAATACATTTTGATGATAAAAAAATTGAACAAACGTCAAACCTATATAGAACATTTATGATTTTTTTTGTTAAACTGACATAAATAAACATCCAATTTAAAAAAGAATGTACAAGATGAAGATTTTTTTAAACTTTAAGGTGGCTACAATCTTATGGTGGACAGCATATTCTGCTTCGGCTAGGCAAGTGCACACAGAATTGTCGGAATAAAAAATACATAAATACATAATTCAACATTGAGCCCCTGTGTTTGAACAAAAAAAGCGCATCTACTGATAAACTAAGTACTGCCTACTGTAATACAGACATAAAATATACATGATTTTAAAGCAGACTGATCATTTAACCAATGGTCCATATCTGCATTGTTATGTCTAATAAATAAATAGATTTAGTGCATATTCCCATTTACCTCCTCGAAGAGTAAAATGAAAAAAAGAAACTATAAATTAAAGGTGGACCAAAGTCAATTTGGATCCGCTAGTTTCATAAAGACGAGAATCTCTGCTCTCGTCCCCTACGGTAAGACAGGCCAGCTATCTTCAGTTTGCATCGTTACATCAGTTGTTTGTGTGTTTTTGATTATCATTACTCGTATAAACCACCAAAGACAGGGCAAGGACAGTTCAATACTGTGTAGTTTGGGGAAAAACTAATCAAAATAAGAAAATATAAACTTTTGATCCAAACCACAACCATGTTCCCCTCAGTTACTGGGATGAGGGATTACAGCAAGTCTCTCCTGGATACATGAAGTAAATGCAGGTGTGGAGCCATTGTCTACCACTTTTCTGTATTGTCTTGGAAAACAGTTGTATATCACTGTTCTTACACAGCACATTATGTAATGTTAAATGTTGCCTCTCTCTATGGGCGTAAGCGGACAGTAGTACTGTGTTTACTACTGAATAATGTCCTATTCACCCTCTAACCTCCACTTCATCCTTTCCCAAGAGAGACTGAGGAGCATGATTGGTGAAAACTCTACTCAGTTATGAACAAAGTACCCCAGCTGTGTTTCTGTTCAAGATGATGACAATGTTTAGTAAACTATGAGGGGCCAGGCTAGGGATGAGGAATGACTTTGTGTTGTTAGCTGACAAACAGAAAATATGATTCATAATGCTATGCTTGAAAGAAACATTGTACAAACATTGCTCCCTGGAATGACAAATATCAACAATCTTAAGTGGTTGATAACTATCAGCTGTATAAAATGTTATAGGTCTACTAAAAAGCATCCAGTGCAGTTTTGGACCATAAGGAAAATGGTTAAGTCTTGTCTAAAGTATGTGTGAACAGCATATTATGTGGTTTGCTGAAGGCCTAGTGAGTGACCAGAGGTATCCATAACACCTCATCTAAATAACTGCTTATTGTCATTCTCTTTCGGGTAAGAAACGCTATCTGGTGAAGAGCAACATAGCCCATACCTTTCAATCAAAAAACAAAATCAAACACAAATTCAGTAATCTTACATACAATAAGTGCTCTATCTCTGGTTGTTTGGCAGTTACGTCTACAGAACATCCAGTAGCACATCCACCTTCTCCTCTGTATGTGGGTTCAGTTCCCCATCTTAATCGCCCCAAAGTACGTCCCCTCCGGTTCAGGGTCCAGCATCCAGGCGTTGGACACGTTAACAAACAGTCCGTCCCCGTGCTGTAGTATCACCGCCCTGCCCTGCTGGGCACAGTACATGTTATACTGAGAGTTATTCCAGCGCATGGTGCTGCCTGTCTTCATCAGCACCACAGACTTGCTGGGCGATGACGTGTGTTTCTCGTGGGAGATGTACTGGATGAGCTGGGCGTTTTTTACGTCCACGGTCTGGGGCGTGGTGAGGGCATGTCCAGGGGCGTCGCGGGGCTCTGTCTCAGGTTCCAGGTCGTAGTAGCGGAAACAGGTCTTGGCGTAGACGTAGTACAGGCCTGACTCGTCCACCAGGAGACGGCCGTCATGGTAACGCATCTTCTTCAGGTGGCCCTGCGCCTCGTTCCAATGGATCATAGCTGCTCTCAGCTCCCCCTCTGGAACAATAACAATACATCAGTCAGTCAATCAGTTGATCAACTAATCAGCAAATAAATCAATCAGTCAATCCATCAGTGAGTCAGTCAGTCAAAAATGTGTCAGAGTTTTACCATTGTACTGTATATGAATATTGGTTGCAGTAGGCTAGTTCTAATCTAGCTGTAAGCTGTGGCTTACTGTTGGCTACTTCTATGGGCTTACTCTTCACGTAGTCGATGGTCGCTTTGATTGGTAGATGAGCTGATGGAAACCCCTCCCTCCCCTGGTTTTTGCAGCGTTGTCTGCCTTTTCTCGGGTCCCTCAGGGCGTCAGCAATGATCTGTTCTGTCTGCACTTCCTATGTAAATGGAATGTTACACATGTCAGAGCAGGGTGGAACTGTAAAGGCTTGGGAACTCTGGTATCAACAGTTGTTTTAAAAACGTAGTCACTGAGAGGAGGGTTGGATACTACAGGGTCATTTTGTAGTGTAGCTGTACAGTAGTTTGACAAATTCTTCCCTCCAAGTCAGAGAGAGTGAGTGACCGCCCAGCCGCAAACCACTATCTAGAAGTGATTTATCATTAACCCAATCATAATACTTTCTAAGCAGTTGCCACATGTTTCAACCAATGCTTATTTCATTGTCTATTTTAATTATAGTGTGTGTGTGTGCTGCATGTGTTTCCCACACACTTCTCCCATAGTTCTGCCAAGTGAACCTCTGAGTTGTGAGCAGCACCAGTAATTGTGGTGTGGTTCTGTAACCCTAGGGCTGCTGGTTAATGTCACCTTTCAGATGGATGTTCCTATCACAGTTCTGGCACCACTTCTAACTGATTAGATTCACACCTGGAGTGGTGCGATGACATACGTATCCCCAGTCTGAGCTATAGTACACAGACTGGAGACAAGACGCAGCACATAGAACAAAACACAGTCTCTATGCAGGTAAACAATCAGACAGTTACCCAGCCTGCCTGACTGAACGGGTTCCGTGTGAAGACCTACCGTCTGCTAGAGACACTTACTTCCAGAACAGAGACATCCTGTAGATGTTTCAACTTGTTTTATAATTTCAGTGTAATTTCCTACATTTTGATCAGCCCTGGTATGCCTGAAATGTCATCTCCCCTCCACCTCCAGCCAATTAATCAAATGAAATACCGAAAACAAAAGTGTTGACGTGAACGCTGTTGAAATGGAAGATTGTTCTTAAATTACCTGAAAACCACACACAACACCTCTGAATAGAGATGTCACGGAACATTAAATATAAAACAGACTATTGCCCTGGAATGATCAACACTGTGGTTTGCAGCACCATTATTGCACCTGCATGACACTAATATTTACTCACAAAACAGGAGCAGACAGACCTGTAGATGTTGAGTCCAAGATTAGTACTGTCTCTCTTCCAAAAACTATTTGCGTGTAAACATGTTTATAGAAAAGTGGTTTAGAATTAGACAGGGTAAACAAGTCTGGCCAACGCTACGGAGAAATAACGATCTAACTCCCCCCTGGCCCAACACTGTGGCATTTGGCCTTGATTTGTGGTGAGACACTCCCAGGAAGAGAGGATGACGTTAGCTGGAGAGATACAGAGCTGGGATGGTTACTGGTCTACTATAACTTACTACTGTAGTGGATTCAGACCCAGACCTGGAGGTCCACAGTAGGCCTACGGCTGGTTATCTGATTCATTAATGTCATTTATTGGCCAAAGAGTCCCTTCACCTGGTGTCCCAGGTCTGAATCAGTCCCTGATTAGAGGGGAAGGGTCAAAACCAGTACACGCTGTGTGTGGCCATACAGGACTATAGTTATCCAATCCTGTGTTGTACTATACTGTTATACTCTATTGTATCACCTTTCACACAGTTCAGTCCACTGTGCAATAGAAGACTACAGCCCAGGACTACACAATAGTGTGCAACACTGTACAATAGACTACAGCCATGAGTCATCCATTCCAAACCATTGAGTTCTGAGGATCCTGTGCTCTCTGACCCTCCCGCCATCAGGCTGACCACAGGTCCCACTGTAGGCCCAGCCTGGCTGGATCCTGTCTCAAGAGCACTTAATAAAGGCAAACATGAGACATGACAGCTCTTAGTAATGCCTGGTCTTTAACAAACCCACTCAATTATCAGCAAAGTAACACTGGTCCCAGGGAAGACAATCATAACACGCGCGCGCATACACACACACACACACACACACACACACACACACACACACACACACACACTCACTCTATGATAACACACTGGGAGCCAAACAGACCTGTCAGCCTCACACCTCATAAAGATTAGAGCAGGGTTCACTCTGCAGCCTGGAGTCTGGTGCAGGGTTGAGACTACAGCATGGGAACCATCCCTGTCCGAGATGTCAGTCTGACGACACAAAGGCAACCTCAGTCCAAGGCAGAGCAGAGCAGAGTGGGTGGTTTGTCTAAGCACTCTTTTGGGGCAACGAGGGCAAATACAAAATACATACTTTCTTTTGAAATTATAGAATTATGGGAAACTAAACACAGCTAAGCAAAGCAGAGCCGCTCCCTTTCTTTCTGTGTTTTACTTCCTGGAAAGATTCTGCTGTTGCTGGTGGAAACCTATGCCAGAGAGATGGCAGAACATTCCAAGAAGGAATCACAGAAAAACCCCTGCCAGACCTCAACAATGGTGCATTCCGCCACGACCACCGCTCTACGCCACTGTTACTGATGAGCAAAGGTTTACTCAAGAGCCACAAACAGACAGATACCACCCCCCTCAGGACACTTTGCAACGGCCTCTCCCAAACCATGATATCGTCTGATTGGTGCTCCACTACAGTACAGTAAACTACAGGCCAACCTGACTCTAGACCTACCCCCCAATCCTCACTTTATTAGGGTGATGACTGGCTTGACCTCTCTACAGGCTCCTGACCACACTGGGGTTAGGGTTTGAAGCTGGGTTTGGGTTAGGGTGTAAAGCTGCTGGGGTATGCACAACAAGCTTTCTGCTCCTCACTTTAAAAACAAAAGCATGGGAACAGCACGACTAAGCACAAATTTGAGAATGGGTAACCTTGTAATTGTTTTAACATAAAAGTGTAGCTATGCTTTTAAAGTTTTAAATACTGAACTGTACACCACCCCATGCTGATAATACTGCTCCTTCCTGGTTGCAACTTAAAGAAGGAGGAAATGCCTTGCATCAAAACATTGTCGGAATGCCTTTGCTCAACCTACGAGGTGTAATGTGTTGTAACACTTTTGTTCCCTTGGTGAAATCCAATGGCTGAACATACACACCAAGGTGGTTACCCAATAGTTTCCCCCAGCTATTATTGATATTCTGGTTTGACCAAACAGGACTGCCATAGGCTAACTCACACACAGGACAAGGCTGTTTCGTGTCAGAGAATCAATGAATGAAGCCAAAAAGGAAACAGAGCTTTGGATTTGATATCCTGTAGATCAGGGATCATCAACTAGATTTTTTTCTTGAGTGGATGGTCAGGGGCCCGGAACAAAATTACAAATAATTTGTAGACTGCAAATTGACCGCAAGAACCCCAAACAGATATAATATTTGAATAAAACATAATCGTTTCAAACCTTGCTTACATTTGTATACAATCACATACCGTATATCTCTCTATTATGTGTGGGAATACTTTGGAACAGATTTCCAATATTAAAATCCCTTGGAGCTGATTGGCTGGTGTTTTTACAGTATTTTATGTCCACCCAAAAAATGATATACACTACATGGCCAAAAGTATGTGGACATCTGCTCGTCGAACATCTCATTCCAGAATCATGGGCATTAATATGGAGTTGGTCCCCCATTTGCTGCTATAACAGCCTCCACTCAGGGAAGGCTTTTTACTAGATGTTGGAACTTTGATGAGGGAACTTGCTTCCATTCAGCCACAAGAGCTTTAGTGAGGTCGGGTACTGATGTTGGCCTGGCTTGCATTCGGCGTTCCAATTCATCCCAAAGGTGTTCGATGGGGTTGAGGTCAGGATTCTGTGCAGGCCAGTCAAGTTCTTCCACACCGATCTCGACAAACCATTTTCTGTATGGACCTCGCTTTGTGCATGGGGGAATTGTCATGCTGAAACAGGAAAGGGCCTTCCCCAAACTGTTGCCACAAAGTTTGAAGCACAGAATCATATAGAATGTCATTGTATGCTGTAGCGTTAAGATTTATCTTCACTGGAACTAAGGGGCCTAGCCCGAACCAGGAAAAACAGCCCCAGACCATTATTCCTCCTCCACCAAACTTTACAGTTGGGTACTATGCATTGGGGCAGGTAGCGTTCTCCTGGCATTCGCCAAACCCAGATTCGTCCGTCGGACTGCCAGATGGTGAAGCATGATTCATCACTCCAGAGAACGTGTTTCCACTGTTCCAGAGTCCAATGGCGGCAAGCTTTACACCACTCGAGCCAACGCTTGGCATTGCGAATGGTGATTTTAGGCTTGTGGACAGACGATTTTTACGCGCTAAGCGCTTCAGAGATCCAATTATGTAAGCTTGTGTGGCCTACCACTTTGCGGCAGAGCCATTGTTGCTCCTAGACGTTTCCACTTCACAATAACAGCACTTCCAGTTGACCGGGCAGCTCTAGCGGGGCAGAAATGTGACGAACTGACTTGTTGGAAAGGTGGCATCCTATGACGGTGCCACGTTGAAAGTCACTGAGCTCTTCAGTAAGGCCATTCTACTGCCAATGTTTGTCTATGGAGATTGCATGGCTGTGTGGTCGATTTTGTACACCTGTCAGCAACGGGTGTGGCTGAAATAGCCGAATCCACTAATTTGAAGGGGTGTCCACATACTTTTTTATATTAGTTTATATATAACTTGGGGGGGGGGGGGGGGCGCAAATAAATAAAATAATCTGCAGGTTGGGGAACCCTGCTGTAGATACTGTAATCTGATAAACATGATCTATAAACTGTGAAAGTCCTCTTTCACAGTAATTAACTTATTTATCTGGTATTTCCTCCAAAACAGCAATTACCTTTTTAATTACATTACCAGATAAATACCAACTGATATAAGATTGTAAAATAAAGTGTCACCCGACGATCTCCTCTGAGCTTTAATGACAAACATAGGCTTATTCGTTGTAGCTTACCAGGATGTACAGTGGCTTGCGAAAGAATTCACCCCCCTTGGCATTTTTCCTATTTTGTTGCCTGACAACCTGGAATTAAAATTGATTTTTGGGGGGTTTGTATCATTTGATTTACACAACATGCCTACCACTTTGAAGATGCAAAATATTTTTTATTGTGAAACAAACAAGAAATAAGACAAAAAAACGGAAAACTATTCACCCCCCCAAAGTCAATACTTTGTGGAGCCACCTTTTGCAGCAATTACAGCTGCAAGTCACTTGGGGTATGTCTCTATAAGCTTGGCACATCTAGACACTGGGATGTTTGCCCATTCTTCAATGCAAAACTGCTACAGCTCCTTTAAGTTGGATGGGTTCCACTGGTGTACAACAATCTTTAAGTCATACCACAGATTCTCAATTGGATTGAGGTCTGGGCTTTGACTAGGCCATTCCAAGACATTTAAATGTTTCCCCTTAAACCACTCAAGTGTTACTTTAGCAGTACGCTTAGGGCCATTGTCCTGCTGGAAGGTGAACCTCCGTCCCAGTCTCAAATCTCTGGAAGACTGAAACAGGTTTCCCTCAAGAATTTCCCTGTATTTAGCGCCATCCATCATTCCTTAAATTCTGACCAGTTTCCCAGTCCCTGCCGATGAAAAACATCTCCACAGCATGATGCTGCCACCACCATGCTTCACTGTGGGGATAGTGTTCTCAGGGTGATGAGAGGTGTTGGGTTTGCGCCAGACATAGCGTTTTTCTTGATGGACAAAAAGCTCAATTTTAGTCTCATCTGACCAGAGTCCCTTCTTCCATATGTTTGGGGAGTCTCCCACATGCCCTTTGGCGAACACCAAATGTGTTTGCTTATTTTTTCTTTAAGCAATGGCTTTTTTCTGCCCACTCTTCCGTAAAGCCCAGTTCTGTGGAGTGTACGGCTTAAAGTGGTCCTATGGACAGATACTCTAATCTCCGCTGTGGAGCTTTGCAGCTCCTTCAGGGTTATCTTTGGTTTCTTTGTTGCCTCTCTGATTAATGCCCTCCTTGCCTGTTCTGTGAGTTTTGGTGGGCGGCCCTCTCTTGGCAGGTTTGTTGTGGTGCCATATTCTTTAAATTTTTTAATAATGGATTTAATGGTGCTCCGTGGGATGTTCAAAGTTTCTGATATTTTTTTATAACCCAACCCTGATCTGTACTTCTCCACAACTTTGTACCTGACCTGTTTGGAGAGCTCCTTGGTCTTCATGGTGCCACTTGCTTGGTGGTGCCCCTTGCTTAGTGGTGTTGCAGACTCTGGGGCCTTTCAGAACAGGTATATATATACTGAGATCATGTGACACTTAGATTGCACACAGGTGGACTTTATTTAACTAATTATGTGACTTCTGAAGGTAATAGGTTGCACCAGATCTTATTTAGGGGCTTCATATCAAAGGGGGTGAATACATATTCACGCACCACTTTCCCGTTATATATTTTTTTGAAATTTTTGAAACAGGTTTTTTTTTTCATTTCACTTCACCAATTTGGACTATTTTGTGTATGTCCGTTACATGAAATCCAAATAAAACTCAATTTAAATTACAGGTTGTAATGCAACAAAATAGGAAAAATGCCAGGGGGGATGAATACTTTTGCAAGGCACTGTACAGAACAACATTACAGTAAAAACCATCTTTGGACCAATGAGAGGGCTAGTTATTATGATCAGACAGGGGTCGACTCACCTCTATAGGCTGCTGTGGGGCGGAGGAGAGGTCTACCTGGAAACAGAAACAAACACTGGTGTTAGGAAGACAAATATTACCTAACAATCCCCCTAATCTATCAGAGTAAAACAGACACAGATTGTTGACAGGTAGCCTCAAGGGTGTCACAATTCATTGACTGAAACCTGGACGACCATGCCAATTGACTCTCTGGCCAACCATTAATTACATGAATTGATCAAATAGTTAAAGAGGACATATAGTAAGAACTAAACTTTCCACAACTTCCATCACTGCCATTATTGTCCTTTCTAGCATGGACATCTAGTCTACTCATTTGCTATGCAGGCACTGTATCCCTAGGTTAGAGGTGCCATTTCTCTGTACTGGTCAGCACCAGACCTCTTCAACCATTACCTATAATACCCATACTGATTCCCATCCCTATACCCCTATCTAGAACCAGATGTCCTGTACATCCTGGTCTCTCAGACCCTCAGAGTCTGATGAGTTTAGAAACAGCCTACAACAGCACATTCTTCCTGCTCCCCCATCAGATACAGTAACTCCTACAGGTGTTCAGACAGGGAGACTGGTGTAGTACCAATATCTGGGCCCTCCTATATCATGAGTCACCTTAAAGTGCTACCCTATGGGGCTGTCGTCGTGAGGACCGTTTATTCAGAGAACGGCTCAGTGTCTCTTTTTTCTCTTCGCTGAGTGGAAAGCTAATTCAGCCCAATCAGATGGTTTCTCACTGCAGGACCAGGACAGGACAGTCTGAATGGGAGACTTTAATAGGAGGTTTGGTGGCTCACAGCAGAGTTTTTCTCTCTGCATCCAATTCCTAACACAATCTGGTCCTCGTGCCAAATACAACTCTAAGATACTCTCTCATTTCCTACTCTGGCTCGTCTCCAGGAGTTAACAAGCTATCGGCACACACCACACCACTGTGTTTATGCCAAAAGACGGGTCAAACAAACATTTACATTATTCTGCAGCATGCTCTCTCTCTCTCCAAACACACACACCACATGCTGGACTTCATTAGGCCTACGTGTGAAGACTGATGGAGCATCATGATGGAACTGAAATGTTTTCTCGTTGTTTGGCTGAAACATGAAATCATTAAACTCTTAAAACCACCATAAAGAAATAAAAACAACCCAGAAAGAATGTTAATGCGGTCTTATACTAGACTGATTGTGCAGGGTGATAGGGGTAGCTGACAGGTTAGCCACCTGACTTGCACTGAAGCACATAAATATCACTGAAAAGTTATTCTGTCTCTCTGTATGCTGAGGGCTCAATGGCTTGACTGGAGATGACCTGGAGATGAGAGAACTGCTAAATGTTCATTTTGTATATTGTTGCTTTGGCAATACGAATTTGCAATTTTATTTTGCCTATAAAGCATTTTTGAATTTGGTTTTGAATTTCAGAACAGTTAAAAATCTTTAGGAGAGATTCTTGGTGGGTTTCTGAAACCTCTTGGCTATAATCTGTTGCAGCCCACCTCCCACAAACAACATAATACACTTTATGAAACATCTGTTTATTCTCAGTATTCAACTGATACATTTTCGACAGAAACCTGTAAATAACACAGAGTAAACACCTCAAAAGTGCCTGCAATTAGTAAAGACAGCTGTATTTTACAAACAAGATTGCTTGAATGAAATCTTTACAGTATGTCCACTATCCCCATTTGCCTGACATTCGCTGTTGAGTTGTATTGTTGAGAAAACGGGAGATTGGTTTGATAAGGTCTGTAACAAATGGAAAATACTGTCTTGTTGAAATAACTGTTAACTCCCTATAATCTGGGCAGGAAAATCTCATCAGTAGAGAGAGATGGTAGCCTCTCTATGTTAGACACAGAGCGCTGACATCTTGTTTTACTGTTGGGGACAAGTTCATAGAACTACTGTCACTTGCTGCGGAGAGCACAGATTGTTCTAAGGGAACGTGCTCACGCTCATCAGCCACAAGTTTGTCTAGAAGTGGCGAGCCGGAACTGTATCCGCAAACCTGCGAGGTTGAAACCTGTGCGCTTCAAACTGCAATATGTCTTGGTAGCCTATTCCAGGAAAGCAATGCGAAACTGACAACTTTTTAATAAACGACAATGTTGCAGATTCATATTGTTTAGCCTATTGTCAGGTTGCTTCTTTAAAATCGAACTGAAATCAGGCAACCTGCAGCTTCACATTAAAATGTTGACGCGCACTAAGTGTCGCAACTCGCATGTGTGTCGCATAGGCCTAGCTCTATTATCAACCGTTGTGCATCTTGAAAAGTGTCTTACCTCTTGGAGATAACCTGTCAAATGTAACAAGATCGCCACACTCGATGCAATCTGCAGCAATCCCATAATAGCAAGAGTTCCGAATATAAGCGGTCTATAGGTGGGTTCTGAGCCATGGGACGGGTGGTAGCGTGTCTGAGCGCCCTCCGTGTCGGAGTGGTTCCTCAGGTAGCCTCGGTAATCATTAGCTGCCATGGTGAGTCCTGGTGCTCTGGATGAATAGACTACTCTCAGTGGAAGGAAGGAAATTCTGACCGAGGAGAGTTATAAACAGTGGGTGGGCAGAAGACAAGCGGCTCCCCTTGTAGAGAGACAGCCAATCAGACGAAAGTGATCTCTAGTATAGTGTGTGTGTGCGTGTGTGTGTGCGTGTGTGTGTGTGTGTGTTTCTGTGTGTGTTGCCTGTCAAGACAACACGGTACACACACGCACACCACACACACACCACACACACACACACGCACACACGCATGCACGCACGCACGCACGCACACACATATATATATATATATAACAGGTTAAACTAGACCGGGGCTCTTCATAACACACAGCTGTGGTTGTAGCCCGAGATCACTCCTACCGCGGTGATGGAATGATTAGTATGGGGACATTTGCTGGATAAAAAAGAGATATGGCAGTTATAAGCACTTTATGAAGGTTTCATAACCATAGGAGTCTGGCAAAGTAATTTTTACTCTAAAGGTTTTCTTTGCAGAGTAAATGTAACCTAGTTGATGCATTATGTCATTAGAGAAGTCATTCCCAACCCTAATATCTCTGTTTGGTGATTCACCCTGTAACACCGGATATGACACCGGATGTGTGTGTGTGTCTTTGTGTGTACCTCTGTGCATGCAACACCTCAACCGCAACACCCACCTACTGTCTTCCACTCATCGAATGTGAACATTGACACAATAATAACCACAAATTGGAGCTGTCACTGTGTCATAGCCAATCATAGCCTGTACACAATGACAGACAGACAGACCTTATTACCCATCTTATCAGACAGACAGATCAACACACTATCACAGCTTATTTTGAAATAGACATAAGTGACTTATTCAAAATTAGTGACAGGCACACAAAAAATATTTTAATCGCAACACATTTTGTGTGTATTACACAATTTTCTTTCTTCATAACCCATTGTACATTACACAAATTCCAATATGTTGTGGCTAATGTTAGCTAGGCTAGCTAGGTGGCTAATGTCAGCTAGGCTAGGGGTGAAGTTTAGGGGTTAAGGTTAGGGTTAGGTTTAGGGGTTAGGGTTAGGTAATATGCTAGCTAAGTAGTTAACGGGTTTGATTTGATTTATTAGGATCCCCATTAGCAGACACCAATGGCAACAGCTAGTCTTACTGCAATGCAAATAGTCTGAGTAGCCATTTTATTAGATGTTCAGGAGTCTTATGGCTTGGGGGTAGAAGCTGTTTAGAAGCCTCTTGGACCTAGACTTGGCACTCCGGTACCGCTTGCCGTGTGGTAGCAGAGAGAACACTCTATGACTAGGGTGGCTGGAGTCTTTGACAATTTTTAGGGCCTTCCTCTGACACCACCTGGTATTGAGTTCCTGGATGGCTGGAAGCTTGGCCCCAGTGATGTACTGGGCCGTACACACTACCCTCTGTAGTGCCTTGCGGTCGGAGGCCAAGCAGTTGCCATACCCGGCAGTGATGCAACCAGTCAGAATGCTCTCGATGGTCTTGGTGTGCTTGGACCATGTTAGTTTGTTGGTGATGTGGACACCAAGGAACTTGAAGCTCTCAACCTGCTCCACTACAGCCCTGTCGATGAGAATGGGGGCGTGTTCGGTCCTCTTCTTTTTCCTGTAGTCCACAATCATCTCCTTTGTCGATCACATTGAGGGAGAGGTTGTTGTCCTGGCACCACATGGCCAGGTCTCTAACCTCCTCCCTATAGGCTGTCTCATCATTGTCGGTGATCAGTATTACAGGGTCTAAACTGTATATAATATCAACAGCCCAGTGGTCCTCCTCAGGCCAGGAGAATTATACTGGAATATCCTCCCTGCTCTACTCTGTTTTCTAATGACAGCAAAAGAAACAACAGCATAGTATTTGAAAACACAGCAGAAAGAAAAACTCTGTTTGAAACAAAGGTTATTTTAGGCAGACACTGTGACAATAGAAAGGGGGGACGGAGAGGGGGTAGGTTGGTGAATTTGCGAAATCCAAGTGAATCTCTGGGTGCCAGTGGAGTTCATGGGAGAAATGTGGCATTTTTACATCTTTAGCCCTAAACCAGCAAACCTCCTGGCACTAAAAACATGTAATACTCCGTCATTATGGGCTTTTTGATTTCACAAAACCACACACACATGATTTCAGTTATGTGTAGTATAACTATATTTCATTTGTATGCAATGGATGTCTCCCTGGCCTTATAGGCTACATGCTTTACAAACCTACCTCCATCTACTGACAGATGCCAAGGTCACTACCATTGTAGGTGAGCAAAATACGTCCTACTTCAATGACCTTCTGACCTTAGGTTTGACCTTCCTGACATGGTTTGCAAACCTGCCTCCCATTGGCAGACATTCACCTATACTCATCTGATAGGAGAGGCAAACACAAGGTCAGTCCAGCCACAACCTCCTCCCTTCCCTTCCCTTCCCTTCCCTTCCCTTCCCTTCCCTTCCCTTCCCTTCCCTTCCCTTCCCTTCCCTTCCCTTCCCTTCCCTTCCCTTCCCTTCCCTTCCCTTCCCTTCCCTTCCCTTCCCTTCCCTTCCCTTCCCTTCCCTTACCCCATGACCTCTTGAACTTGGCTGCCCGTGCACTGCCCCTGGCCCTGTGCCTCTGGCTCTGCCTCTCTCTGTGGCTCTACCCCTGGCTCTGGCTCTAGCTGAGGTCCTGTTCACTGTAGTCCTGTTAGCTCCTCTCCCGGTCAGGGGTGCTTAATACACTGTGAGAACCTGTGTTTAGCTGTGGCTTTCCTGCTGTACCCTCAGCTATTTTCCCCCAGCCCAGGAACCTGGACTAGCGGCCTGCGGTACAGCAAAGGTTTGGGTGGTGTTGTGTTTGTGTGTGTGGTATTCCTCTGTGTTTTGCCATGTGAGCTGTTCTGGTCTCTGCCAGAGGGGAGTGGGACGGACTGAACCCAACGCTCCTTCCCGGGGGGGCAGGGAGCCAAGCGCCTGAAGCTGTGTTAAATAGACCCCCTAGTGTTCTATTATGGTCTATTAGGGAGATTGGCTGGAGTGGATATACAGTGAGGGAAAAAAGTATTTGATCCCCTGCTGATTTTGTACGTTTGCCCACTGACAAAGAAATGATCAGTCTATAATTTTAATGGTAGGTTTATTTGAACAGTGAGAGACCGAATAACAAAAAAATCCAGAAAAAAAGGCATGTCAAAAATGTTATAAATTGATTTGCATTTTAATTAGGGAAATAAGTATTTGACCCCCTCTCAATTAGAAAGATTTCTGGCTCCCAGGTGTCTTTTATACAGGTAACGAGCTGAGATTAGGAGCACACTCTTAAAGGGAGTGCTCCTAATCTCAGTTTGTTACCTGTATAAAAGACATCTGTCCACAGAAGCAATCAATCAATCAGATTCCAAACTCTCCACCATGGCCAAGACCAAAGAGCTCTCCAAGGATGTCAGGGACAAGATTGTAGACCTACACAAGGCTGGAATGGGCTATAAGACCATCGCCATGCAGCTTGGTGAGAAGGTGACAACAGTTGGTGCGATTATTCGCAAATGGAAGAAACACAAAATAACTGTCAATCTCCCTCGGCCTGGGGCTCCATGCAAGATCTCACCTCATGGAGTTGCAATGATCATGAGAACGGTGAGGAATCAGCCCATAACTACACGGGAGGATCTTGTCAATGATCTCAAGGCAGCTGGGACCATAGTCACCAATAAAACAATTGGTAACACACTACGCTGTGAAGGACTGAAATCCTGCAGCGCCCGCAAGGTCCCCCTGCTCAAGAAAGCACATATACAGGCCCGTCTGAAGTTTGCCAATGAACATCTGAATGATTCAGAGGAGAACTGGGTGAAAGTGTTGTGGTCAGATGAGACCAAAATCGAGCTCTTTGGCATCAACTCAACTCGCCGTGTTTGGAGGAGGAGGAATGCTGCCTATGACCCCAAGAACACCATCCCCACCGTCAAACATGGAGGTGGAATCATTATGCTTTGGGGGTGTTTTTCTGATAAGGGGACAGGACAACTTCACTGCATCAAAGGGACGATGGACGGGGCCATGTACCGTCATATCTTGGGTGAGAACCTCCTTCCCTCAGCCAGGGCATTGAAAATGGGTCGTGGATGGGTATTCCAGCATGACAATGACCCAAAACACACGGCCAAGGCAACAAAAGAGTGGCTCAAGAAGAAGCACATTAAGGTCCTGGAGTGGCCTAGCCAGTCTTCAGACCTTAATCCCATAGAAAATCTGTGGAGGGAGCTGAAGGTTTGAGTTGCCAAACGTCAGCCTCGAAACCTTAATGACTTGGAGAAGATCTGCAAACAGGAGTGGGACAAAATCCCTCCTGAGATGTGTGCAAACCTGGTGGCCAACTACAAGAAACGTCTGACCTCTGTGTTTGCCAACAAGGGTTTTGCCACCAAGTACTAAGTCATATTTTGCAGAGGGGTCAAATACTTATTTCCCTCATTAAAATGCAAATCAATGTATAAAATTTTTGACATGCGTTTTTCTGGATTTTTTGTTGTTATTCTGTCTCTCACTGTTCAAATAAACCTACCATTAAAATTATAGACTGATCATGTCTTTGTCAGTGGGCAAACATACAAAATCAGCAGGGGATCAAATACTTTTTTCCCCTCACTGTACGTACAGACCTCTATAACCATTCACACGATTTTAACAACTCACCAGCAACCACTAAGCCTCGTCCTAACCTTAAACCCAAAGAATATATATAAAGATGTTCTACTTGCTCATCAATTCTGACAATATCACCACTGACCTTTCTACCGTGGCCATATAGTGACCATCTGATTACTAGCCCTCCCCATAGAGCACAGTCTGAAGTAAGAGGTGAGGGGTTAGAGGTCAGAACCGCGTCCCTAGTATGTCAGATTGTTAAGTCACAGTGAGAAGAGAAGGTTCCGGCGGGTCTAGACTTCTCATGGCTATTTCAGTTTCAAAACAACCACCGTGATTCAGGTTATTTTGAAGCTCACAAGTGGGCAGAGGTTTTAAATGAGAATGGCCAAATACTGTATAATAAGGAAGTGGAT